TTAAGGTTCTAAAGAAAAACCTTATCCTATTTAATAACCTTAAAAACAAAACAGAACACAACAACCCCTTGCCCTTGAGTCCATTCCGACCCACAGTGCCCCTAGAGGACAGAGTGGAACTGCCCACAGGGTCTCCAAGGCTGTCAGTCTTCACAGAAGCAAAGCCCAAACCACACCCACTGCCGTGGAGTCCATTCTGACCCACAGCGCCCCTAGAGGACAGGGTGGAACTGCCCCACAGGGTCTCCAAGGCTGTCAGTCTTCACAGAAGCAAAGCCCAAACCACACCCACTGCCGTGGAGTCCATTCTGACCCACAGCGCCCCTAGAGGACAGAGTGGAACTGCCCCACAGGGTCTCCAAGGCTGTCAGTCTTCACAGAAGCAAAGCCCAAACCACACCCACTGCCTGGAGTCCATTCTGACCCACAGCGCCCCCAGAGGACAGAGTGGAACTGCCCACAGGGTCTCCAAAGCTGTTGATCTGTACTGGAACCACTGCCACATATTTCTCCTGGAGTGGCTGCTGGGTTCAAACCACTGACCTGTCAGTTGGCAGCTAAGTGCTTTAACCATTGTGCCCCCAGAGCTGCTTTTTAATGCCTCCCAGCAGGGTTGCCAGCTGTGGCACTGTTGACTGTGGGCCGGATTGCTCTCTGTGGTGAGGACATCTGTGCCCTGAAGGATGTTTACCAGCGTCCCTGGCCTCCACCCTCTAGATACCAGTAGCACTTTCTACTCCAAAGAAGCTGTGTTCAGAAAAGTCATACATTTCTATGTCCAAGAATGTCTCCCAATGATGCCGGGTGTCCCATGGAGGCCGAGTTGCCCCTGGGTGAGAGCCGCCAGGTAGGCTCATCTCCAGGGGCGTGTGCAGCTGAGGTGACTGTGAGTGGTGACTGCTGTATGTCAGCTGTGGGGCCAGAGTGCCGGAGCAGAGCCAACAGGCTGATGACTATAACATCTAGTCGTTGGGGTTCGTGCTAGACCCTGGCCGATCTACAGAGGCTTTACGAAAGTTTTGACACGCTTTCTTCACATGAGAGCAGTCCCTTGTGTGGTGGAAGAAGGCATTTCACATCGACCTTCTTGTGTGAGGTTGACAGAAGGGAAATCCCTGATGCTTCTCCTAGTCCAGGAGCAGGTCGGAACAGACCAGGAATGCTCCGGAAGCAGTAGCAGTGGTTCCTGGTGCAGGCTGGTGATTTGTCCTGCTCTTGGGTCTGCTGTGGGGACTTAGCAGCATCCGCCTAATAAAACGCTCTGAAAAAGACCGTAGGAGGGCGGCAGGAAGCTGGGTGTCTGAGATGCTGTATGGCAGAGGACACGTGGTGAGTTTGAAACAATTCTCCAGTAAGTGCTGCCGTGGGAACTGTGAAATTTGGGGGGCAAAGCAGCATATGAGGTGCTCTGGTGGTGCAGGGGTTAAGCACTCAACACCTAACCAAAAGTTAGTGATTGAAACCTGCCAGTTGCTCTCCAGGAAAAAGATGAGACAGTCTGCTTCTGTAAAGATCACAGCCTTGGAGACCCTGTGGTGCAGTTCCACTCTGTCCTCTAGGGGCGCTGTGTGTCGGAATGGACTCCTGGCAGTGGGTGTGGTTTGGGCTTTGCTTCTGTAAAGATCACAGCCTTGGAGACCCTGTGGGCAGTTCCACTCTGTCCTCTAGGGGCGCTGTGGGTCAGACTGGACTCCAGGGCAGTGGGTGTGGTTT